GTCAGGTGCAGAGGTGCGGAGACAAAAGATGACCTTGGCTTCTAGAAAGGAATGGCAAAAACCCATTCCACAATTCTACTCCTTTCTATTCCCCCTCCTAATTACTAGACTAGTGAAACAGCATAGGGAAATAATAGAGAGTGTGGCAGGCCAACAATCCCAAAAGGAATATACACTGCAGTCCTGCCAAGTAATGCCTGATATGTATCCTGTAATGCAGGATACTCTTTTACAAAATGAAGTTTAAAGTTCAATCTTCTGCTCTGAAGTATGATTTGAAACTTTCTAGAGATTAGATAAGGCAAAATATTTTTTACACTTATGGAATAAACTGAAGACTAATATAAACAACACTCTTTTTAAGCCTGCCATTTTATTCAATTAAATAAATGCAAAAAAGTAATTAAAAATAATGAATCTCTATGGGTGGCTTGAGGCGCAATTGTGGTGGAGGTAGTTGATGATATAAAAGAGAAGACCCCCCCCCCTCTCCAGTGCTTTCTGTTCTCTTTGTTTTTGGTCGCTATTCCAATTAATTTTAATTGTTTTTATATTTATCCTTTTATCATTTTGTAAGACATCCAGAGTTATTTCAACAGTGATATGGATAGCACATTAAACAAATATTTGCTACTCTAGGTTAGATTATTCTGAAGGCCTGTTTAACTAGTATATTGGCTTTAACTATGGATCCAATGCCATCTTTTTAAGACCCATCTTCATGTGAGAACATCATGTGAGAATACCATGTGATCCCTTCAATATGTTATTATATTTTCAAAACAAGGGATGAAGAAATGTATAGCTATATACTGTTCCCTTTCCCCCCTTCTCTGCACCCATTTTTCATGCTCTGATTTTTCATACATAGAGATGTTTCCATCAAGCATGTCTTCTTTCTTGTCAGCTGAAAGATCATTCATCTTACTGCACTGCACACTTCTGATTTAAATCTAAATTTATTCTGAAGAAATATACTTAGGTGTGTTACAATGTTTGAATATTTTTCTTTCTTATTGAACTTCATTGATCTTCATCAGTGATTAAGATTAGATAACTCATTTTGGCCGGTTTTTGTGTAGGTTTTAGTTTGACTTTCAGGCTTCCTTGCTTTGTAGTTATAGCTGTAGCTAGGTAAATACAAAGTGACAATTCACTTTTTATTGTGCCTCAGTTACTTGCTTCGGTTTTCTAGACTGTTTGAATTTGATTGTGTTTTGTAGGGTTGCTAAATATATTTCAGCAAGTTTCTTAAAACTTATTTTAAAACCTTACACGTGCAGTTCATTGTTTTATTCATTGCAACTTGACATGTATAGATAGTTCCCATTTAGTTATCACAACTGGGACCAGCAACTCTGTTCTTAAGCAAAGCAGTTGCTTAGTGAAACTACAACTGCGTTAATGATCGTCTCAGCTTTCCTTTGTTTATATACCCATGAAAGTCATAAATGCAAGAACTTGTCAGTTACTTTTTCTTCACTATTGTAACTGAAAACTGTTGCTAATTGAGGCAGTTGCTAAATAAGAACTATCTATAATTCATTACAGGTCCCATAAGTAATCTGTTATTAGGGGTGTATTTATCAGCAACTCTATAAAGTAGCTTCATAACCACAATACTATCGCTGGAATACCTGATTAAGAAATTACTGGCAGATGTTACATGCATGCTCAGATATACAACTGCTCTCTATGCAGTTGTAATTGTATGTTGTGGGTGTTTACTAAATGAATGATAATTTTCTTAGAGAAAATAAACTTTTTTGTTTATCTTTCTATGACTTCTTTGAGAGGGAGAATAGTCTCCCTCACAAATGCCACTTAATAGCAGTGTTGACTCCAAAGTGCAAGTTAAAATAAATATATGTGCAAGTATGCATCACAGATATAATCCTGCAGCTTCTCTCCTTCCTATTCTGTTCCTAATGACACCCCTGTAGAAGAAGAATCCAGTGCTGCTATACTAGTAAAAATGACACACTTTATAACATAATTACGTGCTTTATTGAGTAAAGCAGTATATAATACAGTAAGTAAGGCATATATTTGGTAAAATTCAATATGTTGTGAAAAATGCAGTAAAACTGAAATTTATAAAAATAATTAGTAAATGTTACAGTGTTGATGTTAGAACACAATAAATGATACCCAAGTAATAAATCAGTACTGCATGAAAATGGCATAACATGCCAGACAATATTAGGTTATGCTGAAAATGTTTTACAGTTTAGTAGTGCATGGATATAAGGAACATGAAATAGTTCCAAAGAAACTCTTTAAAAGCAGCAATAAAGCTCTTAAACTCTTTTAAATATTTTCAAAAGACTCACTTCAAAACTAATGTCTAAAAAAGAAATAACACTGATGAAAATAGTTGTGCACTATATTAGTCTCGAATCTTTTAAAATTTAAGAGAATTTATGACATAAAAGAAACTAATAATCCCATCCTATAATTGAATCTGTAAAATCTTACATAAAGGCTCTATATATAGGATATTCATTTGTAAATGAAGCCTATGATTCAGTCTAGCATTGCCTCAGTGCGGTCCTTACAAAGAGTAGGATTCATATAGGACATAATAGAGCCCTTTTAATGCTCATCTTAGTGTGCATCCCCAGAAGTGAAGAAAACACTCCTGAATGAAAGGGAAAGTTTATTTTCTCAGGGAAATGCACACGGGACTCACTAAAGAGAGAGCAGGAAATAGGGCTGTTTAAAACTCTAGACTAATTTATTTGTGGGTAATCACTGTGCTTATGCTAGACTGAATTGTGCCCAAAGTCTTTAAAAAAGCATGAAAATGTATGGACTTTCTTTGCAAGTTACTAAATTTTAATTGTTTTATATTGGTATTAAAAGAACACCAGTTTACACAATGGATAAGTAGTTGACAATGAATACCTTCTCTACACACAACACCACACCAAAACGAAAGTGAGGTAGAAATACCATGCCTACCCATGTTGAATGCTTACTAGCATTAAAAAATAAAATATATTTTCTCCTGTGTTTTAATTATACCATACAAGAGGTAACAGATTTAACATTTGCAAAGTATTAAAGTTTATTAGATGGTAAAAATCTGTCTTTAGACAATGGAATTAAAGGCTGGTGGGGGGAAAAAAGAAATGAAGCTTTTGTTAATAGTACCTCAACATTTTATAACAGTAAACCTGAGGGACTGTTTTCTAACATCTGTTTTTTATCATCCCTCTCCTGAGTCATTGTTAATTGTGCAGCATTACTTGTAGAGTAGGATTGCTGGGTTTCATTTTGGACAACCAGCTTCTCACGAAGCACTGTGGCTACTTTAAGCAACTGATAGAGTTGATGTTTACCATTGTGCCACACTATTCAGTTTTATTAATGTTGGTGTGGAACTGGTGTGGCTCCTTGGAATTCATTACAAGATAAAAACTAGTGCTTTGTGTGTTTTAAAGAATTTAGGCAATTTTCAATACTCAATACTTTCTCTACAAACATGAAATATTAAATAATAATATGAATAATCTAAAGATTAAACAGATCACAAACTGGTATCTATAGTCAAATCTTCATTCCAATACACACACAGATGCAGAATATCTGATAAAAAGTGGCATCACAGGGCATGAAAGCAAATCATATTTTTATTTAGAAACATTAAGGTGCTGGCCAGTGCCGGAGGCAGGATAAGGACACATAAGTCCACTGGTATTATTCAATAAGGCAATTTCTATTTTGTGTTTACTTTTAACATTCAGAGCCGAAGTATAGAGGAAATAAAAGCTTAGAATATGAGTCCAATTTATCTTATTTTTGCAAATTCTGATATTTGTCATGATGTGTGCTCTTTCATATTATTGCCAACTAGCTGGATAGTTCTAGTAAGACTTGCTCAGGATCTGGAAAGCTATCTCAACTGGAAGTTTTAGAAAATAATTTTAAAGCAAGAGTTAGTCAGATACTAGAAGAAATGTAGGCTGTTTGGTGTTGCAGAAATTCTGTTTGATTTTAAGGAAAAGAACACAGAACATGAATATCTGTTGGGTATAATTACCAAGTTGAAGTGATGCTAAACAAATGCACTGCCTCATTTTTTTTCTTTGTTTTTATAGGGATTTATATAAACATTTTTATAAAGCACACCTTTTTTACAATCTTTCTTTATAACAGCTATAAATTCTTTTTAAACAACCCAAAATGTGTCCATATAAAGAAATGGCAAGTTATTAGCTGTCAAAATTTTACATGTAGTTTTCTTTGTTTTGTACAATTGCATAGATGTGTAAAACCTGCCATTGTTAACAAAACAACAACAGACTTAAGAAACTACTGAAATCTACAGTATAGTACCACTATCCTTCACAAAAATATAGATTTGTTTTCATGTAAACTCTTATAGTCTAATCCTCTGTCATATGAATATTATAAAAACCATGCAGGATATGCTTGAAGTTGTAAAATAGAACTTGTTATTCTACTAATTTGTTGTCAGTCATCACTGTCACTAAGGTTTCCATTGCTTGGCCCAAGTCATCTGCCATGTGGAAAAGGCTAACTACATTGTTGCCTGTAAAAAAAAGAGAGAGAGAGAGAAGAATAATTATTTTATTTCCATGCGTCATTAAAGAATAGTGTTGGAGAGAGGGGGAAAGAAGAAAAGCAAGGAGCTTGCCTAATAGTATCATAGCCACTCAATTCATCTTTTTTTGCAATGAACTCTAAACATGTGTTGAAAGTTAACCATTTCTCAAGGAAAGTCTAAAGCAATTAGTATAGCTAGTATTAATTATGTTTTACATTTTCTGCGAAGAGGTTGGGTTCCCTTATTTTTCCCCTCCATTCTTTTTTTTACATTTGGAGGGGGATTTTTAATTAAAAGCATACCCATATGAAATGCTATACAAATATTCTACTATCCTTGGTGTATAAAGACTGACACAATTGTGGGCTATGGGCAGGAAAATCCAGTGTTCCTAATTTTTTTCTGTGTTTGGCTGAAATAACTCCCTTGCTTGATGAATCCAGAGTATGGTTAAGATGTTCAGCATGACTAATAGTTGTCCACCATATCTTTTTTAGCAATTCTTTTCCGTTGTTCCAGTAAGATTTTAAATTACTGTCCTCAAATTATAGCAGTTTCTAAGAAACAGCCTTGATTATGAGAGTACACTAAATTTAAGAAGTAATTTATGAGCACAGTGAATTTTCTAATAGTGGATTAGTTTAATTCTATTCTGCCTGTTTGCTATACCAATTACATACTTTATTTATGGATAGGCAAGTCTAATATTCTAGAAACAGTGATTTACATGAACAAAACTCTGCCTGCTACATATAAACCTACAAGATGATACATACCTTTTTATTTTTTCTAATTTCTCTTTCTTGCATCTAAGGCACAATCTAAATACTTTCCCATGTTTAGGATGTGGCAGGAATTTTGCCCTTTGGATTCAAGGTAAACAAATGTTTGAGGATGTTTTGTTATCAAAAACTAAGTGTGAAAAGCTGACAGGGAGCCTATCTTATCTCCATGACTGTATGTCCTGGAAACTGCTGTGGGGAAACAGGAAACGGGACCCTGTGGCATTGAAATTGAAATTGTACTGATATAGTTTTTAATCTGAAATGATTCATACGATATTTAGAGTAATACAAAATTAGAAGATATGGCAAACAAAACAATTATGCAACATACATACATAACCATATAAACAATAATGTAAATTACATGTTTGGGACAAATACATTTTCATGTGACTTCAGATGTACATTCTGAAGTTAGGATGGTCCAATTGAAATTCCTCTGCCTCTGTTCATTATCTATTCATTCTAAAGAGGGAAGTCTATCCACCTCCTAATATGTTCATACAGAAAATGTAGTCCTTACAAGCCAAATGATTTAAATGTGTATACAAATGTTGCCCTTATGAAAACACCCTTAAATGCAGTCAGTTTGTGTGTCCACATGATAGATAGTGTTGAAACTGCTTTCTTCAGATTTTCAGGTAATCATTTTGAATCTGTTGTGCTTTACTTAGAACTGATAATTTACTCATGAAACTTTAATTCTATGGACTTTTGTCAGGATGCTCTACTTCATGGGAATTTTGACTAAAGTAGTGGTTGGAATCTAAGCATGATTCATTGGAATCAGTTAGTATTAGATTTACAAGAAAGTTTCTGTGCAAAACCAATGATCTTTTAATAAAGTTAATTGGTTTGCCCTGATTGCCCTTATGGAAGGGCAACTCATCTTTTCAGGTGCAGTATAGTGGTGGGTTTCCATTTCTTTTTTTTTATTACTGATTTGCTCATGCATGTGTAGAAGCATCTGGGTGGGTAGATGGGCGGAGCTTCCGGCCGCTGCCACTACTGGTTCACCTGATCCGGGCTGAACCAGAAGCAACCCACCTGGTCCACCACCTCTATAGGGTTTAAGTTTAGTTTGGGGAAAATACAGTTCTAAATGTTTATGGAAATTCACAATCATCCAGGTATTGGTTGTCCCAAAGATGCTTTGTCTTCAAAGAAAATTCATGCTGCTAGGTTATCTTGAATAACAGGTGAGGTATAAATCAAATGAATGTTAATGTGACTTTAAAGCACCTGCAATTTGAATGATACAAAAATATTTTCAATCCCTTTTAAAAATAAATTCAAGAAATTGTTAATTTCCATTTTCATTGCAACAATGTATTATAGTACTGTGATATTTTCTATTATAAAGAATTATTAAATGTTTTGTAAATGTAGACAAATTATAATTTATTTAAATATTCTTTAATTATTAGTTTGTGATAGTATTTTAATTGTATTCTCTGGAATTTGTCCATTAATATAATATATACTTAATATATATTAATCGCTTTTCAAAACCTACAGTTTTTTTGCCTACAACCGCAATTCTGCCTCAAATTCCATCGATTCTTTAAATAGGAGACAGATTCTTATATAAGAATGAGCTTGATTACGTTTAGATACAAGGCTATTGCAGTTCTCTATTAGTTCTCTATAATGTGTCAATGTGTGACACATTAACATTTTTTTACTTTCCCTTTATTAAACTACACGTTTTAAATATCGAATTTGGTGGAAAATATTCAGATGCCTTCAGTAAACTATTTTAGTAACAAGAATGCTATGACCTTACATCTAATCATTGAAATTCCTATGATTTTTCATACAGTAACTATGAAATATTTAGATTGAAAAACAAGTAAGATTTATAGTGGGCTATTCAACAAAATGCAAAACATGCTTCCATTTACATCTTTTCTTTATGAACTAGTCCTTGACTGTAATAATAAACCTTCATTCTTACCAGATTAAAATTTGCTTTTGTTACAGTTAAATCAGCTGAGTTTTTACACATACTTTAACATGACACAGTTTAGTCTGTGGGTATTAGTGACAATTTAGCTGGCACAAACATTAACTTGCAAGCTTTAACATTTTGCTGTTTATACCTCTCAATCCTTGAACATAACTAAATAATTCTATATAACTATTTGGAACATATATGTTCCAAATAATTGTATACGGTAGAAACCTGCTATAGTCTCAAAATGCAAATCAAGTTATGATTAACTATGAAAGTTTTATTTGAACAATTTTATAGAAAATTTCTCTTTTATATTCCTCTGCCCCATTGGTGAAATCCAAAGTTTTTCCCTTCCTGTTCTGTGGGCGTGGCCAATTTGTAAAATGTGGTGAAACTCACTTAACAACGCTCTTGCTTAGCAATCAAAATTTTGGGTTCAATTGTAGTCATGTTCTTTCTTTCTTTCTTTCTTTCTTTCTTTCTTTCTTTCTTTCTTTCTTTCTTTCTTTCT